GCCTGCTTTGAGATGACAGATTTATAGAAAACTATAAATTGGGAATTAAATGTTTAATAAATGTGTACAAAATATAACTTTATGGATTTTCATGTTTACAAACATTTCCTTTCATTTGGAAACAACTATACATAAGATTTTCTTCTCATCTTATAATAATTTCTGAATATGCTTAATGATTTTGGACAACCATAGCCACAAGTAAATAAAATGAATCATTCTTGGTCAAATAATTTTTAAAACTTTCAAACAGTTTCACAGAAAAACAAATGTGCGTGTATGTGTGTGTGTGTGTATTATTATTAATTTTTTTTTTTTACAGAGTCTTATCCTGTCACCTGCGGTAGGGTGCAGTGATGAGATCATGGCCCCCTGCAGCCTTGACCTCCTGGGCTCAAGCAATCTTCCTGTCTTGGCCTCCCAAAGTGCTGGATTACAGATGTGAGCTACCATGTGTAGCCAAAAAATGTATATTTCTGATGGTGCTGGATTTTGATACGTTTGCTATATGCTTAAGCCTATAAAGGTCTGAAAACATTCCCAGCAAATATAGTTTGAATGGTTTAATGGAACCAATTGTTGGCTCCTAAAGGATCAGGTGATTTTTTTTTTTTTAGTCCAACTGTTGTGGTGGGGGGCTAATTAGGTGTTTTGTTTTAAAGTGGCAGCCCAACCATGTTTCTCTTGAGTTAAAATCTACCTTGTTAAGACTGGTACAAATGACATTATGCCTAAGAAGAACAGATAACTATCAGTTGTTTAGGGATTTTGTTTCTTATTTAACTAGATTTTTTTCCTGGGGACATGCTAATAACTGTTCTGGGTTACTCAGCTGTGCCCAGGACTCTAATCACCAAACTTGGTGACTCCCATATACTGTCTTCATGAAGTATCTGTTGTCTGACTGCAAAGCACATTGAAACTGGACATCTCTACCATGAGGTCCTTGGCATCTCAAATATGAAAATCCTCAAATTGAACCCATAAACTGTTCATAAATGGGTTTCCCATATGATCTATAAAATTTCCATAAACCTGTACTCCTCCCCAACCTTTATTTCCAGTCTTAGTGAATGGCACATCCTCCACTCAGCTGCCCAAACGAGGCTCCTGAGAGCATTCTTGACTCCTCTGTCTTGTTCCATAGCCAATTGCTCACCAAGTCCACTTGATTTTACCTTGTTTGTTCTGGAGTTAGTCAGACTTCTTGGGTTAGAATTTCAGTCCTGCAATGATTTCTCTGTGTGACCATGGAAAATTACCTTACTTACAGGTGCCTCGTGCCTCTGTTGGTAAAATAGGCATAACAATGGTATAGTTTAGGTCGACTGTGAGGAGTAAGTCAGCTAATGCACACAAATAGCTTAGAACAGAGTGTGGCACATAGTACAGACTACACAAGTATTGGTTCTTTGTTGCTATTACTGGATTCAAAATGAATGCAAAAATTCCAAAGAAACAAAAACAAAACCAAGACAGGTTGTTGTTTGTTTTATGACCCTGCATCATTGTGTAACAAGAACAGTTTTTCCAACCTTTGCTAAGTTCCAAGGCTACTCGGTTATCATATTCCCACAGTGGCAGTCTTATGAGGGTTGACAATCATAGAAGAACTGATTGGGCATTATGGTGCCTTATGTATAGTCATACTTTTTCATTGTAGAGCTTAACTTTTTCTATTTGGTTCCAAAAATCTTTAGGGGTACACAGTTTTTCTTTTGCTTCAGGCTCTGATAGGGCTTGGCTCAGGCCCAAGTAAAGCTGATAGAACCGGCTGATGGTGTAGATGTGTGGTATAAGCAAAAGGAGGCATTAACGATGCTCCTAGGTTTGGACCTGAGCAAAAGGATGATTGGTGATGTCATCCTGATGGGTAACCTTGGGAGAGAGGAGACTTGGTGCATAAAAATCAAGTTTGACATACTGGTTAGATACGCCCATTGGGGATGTCAAATAACTCCTTTAGGTCTTCAGAAATCTCATTTCTGTCTACATGGCTGGCTGTTCTCCTCTTTACAGACCAGCTTTCTTGGCAAAGTTCTTAGAACTTACTTCCTGGTGACTTTGGCATCATGGGTTTTGGTGCCATAGTTCTAATTTGGGCCACCGCAGTCTATAATCTCACCATTCAATGCCAGCTGACTGACTCATTCTTCAAGCTCAGTTTCAAATACTGGAGGGAGAGCCTGTCATGGCTCAGCCAGGGGAAGGTGTCCACCACAGCTCCCATCTACCACAGCTGGCACTCCATGCTGAGCACAGGGTAGGGCAACAAAGTTGGATGTGGCAGCAAATTTGACATTTCCTCAGGAAACCTTTTTCTGAACCCCAGGGGAACAGTTGGTTATCCTTCCTGCATACTCCTGCCGTTCCCGGAACTTTGTCCTTTCACAGGCAGTATTGTTATTGCCTGCTTCTTTTCTGTCTCCCTCACTAAACTTTTAGTACAGTCCTTGAGGCAGAGGCTCTGAATCCACAGGACCTAGGAGAAAGTAGATGCTCAATAAGTATTCTTTGAATGAATGAATGAATATGTGAGAAAAAAATACCTGCCGTGAAAGTGTGATCTCACTTGCTTGAGAGGAGCTTGTCATGATGAAGAAAGACGTGAATAACTGTCAAAACAACACAAAGCAAAGCAAACCAAACCACCACGAAAACAAAAAACCCTAGAGCAACGAAACATGTTTTAGAAAATACAATATGTTTTTAGAATTTTCTGTCCTGAAGGGTTAGACCTCACAATGGCTATTTGTTATATTGTGTGCATGCGTGTGTGTGTGTATGTATGTATTTTGTGTACAAATACATACATATATGCGTATTTTAACATAAAGTTAGAAAATGTTAGAGTTGGAAGGGATCTTAAGATTCTTTAGTTCAGCCTTTTATTTTCAGAAAACTAAGTCCCAGAGAGGATAAAGATGATTTGCTTAAGATTCCTATAACTCCACTCTTTGTTTTACTACAGAGTCACTTTCTATTTAAAGTAATTATTCTTAACTTTTTCTGGGTCAAGGACCCAATATGAAAGAAATCTGTTGAGAACCATGAATCTTCTTTTTGTGGGAAAAGTGTACATAAGCATGTATGTAATAAATTGTCCCCCTGAATGTCAAGGGTTCCTTTTAAAACCCATAGATCCAAGGAATAGAGAATGGGTGGCTAACCAGAGTTAATCTCAGGCATTGATTTAAATGAATTCTTAATGGGATCACCCTGGGTATATTACCCAACTTTTCTGAAAGATGGCAAACAAAGAGTTTTTGTGAGAGTAGTTGAGAAAATGTAAGTGCCTGCATGAGGGGGTACTAAAAAATGTTGGCCACATTTCAAAAGATATAAGATTTTAGGAGTTCTCAAAAGACTCTCAACAAGGCTCTCATATACAACATGCCTTGTATGTGGGGAACTAAACACAATAGGTATAGCTTGTTTTGCCCCTGGAGCATCTAGGTCAGGAGAATGAGTGCTAATTTCTTGGTGAGAGAGAGAAAGAAGAGGATGAAGGCAAGGAGAGCCTATGAAAAACCTTAGCAGAAGTGTACAGAGTTAAGGAACAGCCATTTAGACTGGAACAGGAAGGCATCCTTGTCTCTGAGTCCGATTCCCTGAGCAGGAATCATTTAATATTTGAATTCTGGCGGGGCGTGGTGGCTCATGCCTTAATGCCAGCACTTTGGGAAGCTTGAGGCCAGTGGATCATTTGAGGTCAGGAGTTCAAGACCAGTCTGGCCGACATGGTGAAAACCCATCTGTACTAAAAATAAAAAATTAGCAGGATGTGGTGATGGACTCCTGTAATCCCAGCTACTCAGGAGGCTGAAGTAGGAGAATCACTTGATTTTAGCAGACGGAGGTTGCAGTGAGCGGAGGGTGCAGTGAGCCAAGATCGCACCACTGCACTCCAGCCTGGGCGACAGAGTGAGACTCTGTCACAAAAAAAAAAAAAAAAAAAAAAAAAATTAAAATCAAATTCCCACCAGGGGAGGAAAGGAGCCATCCGGTAATCACTGTACTAATTCTATGCCTCTGTGCACCCAAACATCTCATGGCTGGATTTACTTTATTTGTCTGAACTTCCCAGCAGGAGAAATTTAGATCTGGCTACTGAAATTGCTGGAAGCAGACTCATCAGGACAGGAAGGAAATGACTGTTCCATCCCTGCAAATTGACTACTCAGTGAAAGAGGCTAAGTTTAAAGACGCTCATGGCTGTCCCACTACCCTCCCTAATATAAAATGGCAGCAGCTGGGGGCTCCAGACTAGTTGAGTTGAAGCTTTTTCCAATGAAAAACTTGTCTAAATCGTCTTGCTCATTACCTTGAGGTGTGTGCGTGTATCAACTCCGACATCATCTTTCTACCTCAAATTGGGACAATGCAAGCACATTTCAGGGCACAGAAGAGGCACCCAGTGAATATGATGGATATGATATTTCTCTTGTTCCCGTCTTTATCTTTCATTCTGTCCTTTCTTTGGGAGAACGATAAAGTAAAGATCTTATGAAATCCTTTCAACCTCCTAAGGAACAGGAAAGCTGATGGGCGGTGCCGGGGTATGGTAACCACGACCCCACACTCTTATGCTTAACTTAAAAGATAAGTGCCATCCTTGCCCCTGTCACCAAAGCCCCCGTCACCTGACAAGTTCTGGGAGTGCCTGGCAGCTTTTGGAAGGGGGTACCCGGGAAGGGGCGTCGGGGACAGAAGATGGGGGCCAGGTGCTTAGCGCCGCGGCCTGCAGGGAGGAGGTGCTGCGAAGACCCCCGCCCAGGTCAGGCGCTCTCTGCTGCCCCCCGCGGAGGCGCCCGGGCCCCAGCCCCGGCCCCCCCAGCGGCTCCTCGGGAATGCTGGGAATGTGAGTCAGGGCCTCCGCGAGCGGGCGAGCGCGCGGGCCGGCCGGGTGGGAGCCCCGCCGAGCGCAGCGGCTGGCGGCGCCGCGCGAGCGCGCGTCTCGGGACTGCGGCGGGTGCCGCCCCCTCGGCCGCCGGCCCCGCCCGGCCCCGCGCCCGGCCCCGGCCCTCCGAGCGGTGTCCTCCTCCTTCCCTCCTTCCCTCCTTCCCTCCCCGGTGCTCCTCTTTCTCCTCCTCCCGCTCCTGCTCGCTCGGTCTCCGGCTCTGGCACCGGCTCCTGCTCCTCCCGGCCGCCCGGGGCCAAGGCGACGTGAGGTTGTAAAAATCCATGTGGGACGGCCCCCGGGCGAGCATCGGAAAGGTGAGACGCCGACGCCGGGGCCGCCTGGTGCCCGGCTCCCTCCGGGCGCCCGTGCCCGGGCAGCCCTCGTGCCGGTCCCGCTCGCTCGTGGGGAGCTGCAATGCGTTATCGTGGGGAGCCTAGGGGTGAACCATCCGCCTCCGGGGCTTTCTTGGGCGCGGGGAGGGATGGGGCGGCCTAAAGGAGGATTTGCCTTGATGTATAAACCCCCGGATTGGAACAAGTGCACGGTTTCCTCCGGCGCGCGGGCGCCGCTCGCTCGTCCCGGCGGCCCGGGCCACCTCCCGCAGTCCCTCTCCGGCAGCCACCCTCACTGCCATCGCCTTTCTTTCCTCAGACCCCGCTGTTTTGCCTGGCGTCCCCTCTTGCTTCGAGGGGTGGGGTGTTCGCGGGGGCGGGGGTCTTGAGCAACCCCAAGCAGAACAAAGTGGAGAAAGGTGGAGCCCCAGCCCAGGGGGTGGGGTGGCTGGCTGCCTGGGTGGGCTCCGAGGGGAACATGTTTTTTTAAAAAAACCCTTGTCAGGGAAAATGAAGCCGATTTATCGGGGAGGGCTAGGAGATGGTGTATGGAAAGGAATACGATGTAAAATTGAACTGAACGGCATCATTTCTTCCCTCCTTCTTCCCATCTCCTACTTATACAAAAAAGAGATACTTACGAAGGTGTACCTAATTTAAAAAATTAGCGTACGAGCCTTTGAAAGATCATCTTAGGACAGTGAAGATTAAGGGCTGCTTTGGTTCGGGGTAATAAAACAGCTCTCGTAAACTCTCCTTTCGGCCCTGCCTTATTTATTTTGTAGTTAAGGGTCTCTGTTCTCCTTGCCAGAGAGGGAGGGTCCGCTCTTTTAGGAGTGAATCGATTTTAGGCTGCTACCTGCCTTTGCTGGATGAAAGGCAATTTACTCCAGGAGCAGTGAATTGTCAGTTCCCTCTGTGATTGACAGCCACACCTACCACTTAAGTGGGTAGAATGGGGACCGGTGGAACCCAAAGAGCCAATCAATGCTCGGGAGAGGAGGGCAGCTCCCACTTGTCATGGTTAGTTTCCTGGTTGGCTCTTTAAATCAGTGGTTTTACTTAACCATTGATTTCCACCAGGTATGGGGATCCAGCTGTGAGAGGCAGACGAACGCGAAGAAAACTCTTTGAAAATGGGCTTTTAGAAGCAAGTATATTTGACCTGTGTTTCCTTGTCCTCCCCATCCCCTACCCTCCACCCCCTGATTATTAGTTGTAGTAGTTGTGGATGCCGAGGCCATTGGCTTAAAACGAAAATGAAATGAATCTGTGTAAAGAATGAATGGGGGGAAGGGGTGTTAGAATGGCCCACCTATTTCTCCAGAATTGCAGTCTTTATACCATGTACAGTTGAGCTATCCGGGAAAAGGGTGTGGCACTTTGTCTCCTATGGTCACTCTTGTCCTTGTAAAGTCACATTGTTTCTCAGTATACAGTACTTGGGTCTTGGCTCTACTGGATGGATTTATAAGATATTTTTGAAGCCGGCAAACGTTCTTTATGGGAAGTCACATGAATAGAAGGGATTCGTTTAGTTCTGACAGTTAACTCAACTTCTGGAAGTGAGGGCTGCCTTGTTCTCTTTTGCAGAGTGTCAGTTTGGTGGTGGTGGTGGGGTCAAGCCGTTTTCTTTCCAAGGAGTAGTAGAGTTTGCCTTTTTCTCGTGTAAGCCATCTTGTCTGTTTGCTTCTGTGCTTTAATAAGATACTTCTGCAGTTTTAGCAGGGAGGGGAATGGAAGGTGATGGTGTCATGGTTTTTACCAGCAAGACTTTCATGGGTGGATAAATCATGGGTGAAGGACCAGATCCTTCTCAACTCACTGCTAGTGAATGGCTGATTTTTCAGCACCCTTCTCCCTGAATTCATTAGCAAAATTACTGACTGATCCAAAGAATGGTCACTTAATAGAAGCTGTACCTGGATGTGAACATAATGCTGTGAATTAAGCATTTCATAAATAGACTGTGAGCCAGAATATACTGATTAGGATGGTTTTCATGTAGAAGCCAGGTTTTTAAGGCAGTATTATTACTATTACTATCACCATCATTATTATTACATATGCAAGCACTTTGCTGGGTACTTTATATGCATTATCTTTTTTAAACCTTGTAGAGCCCCTGTGAGGTAGGTACTATTGTTATAAATATCTTGCTACAGTTTAGTATGAAAGCAAGAACCTGAGCTCAGGTTTGTCTTACCCAGAGCCCATGACCTTGGCCATGGCCTTGACTTCAAATTTTGGTTGTGTAGTCTGCACGTGTCCAGTCTGAAGGTGTGGGTTCTCCCGACATACATAGAGCTAACCCTTTTGAGAGCCCACTGTGATTCTGACAGTCCTTTTGTCAACCTGTTTTGCCTTTCCATTTGAAGGCTGTGGCATGGGCCAATAGGCAAATGTAGTAACTTTGTTTACTATATGTTTCCAGTAGATCAATTTTGGCTCAATAGAAACTTAGTTCCAAATTTGATGACTTAAAAGAAGGTAAAACCAAACAAAATTCACACTCTTCCATTTTTCTTGACACCTTAAATTTCCAATTGGAGCTCTAAATAGATCTTGGTTGAATAAATGCTCTTAACCTCATTCAATTTGTCTCCTCACCAAGGGATTAGAGTTTTATTTTCTTTGTTATTTACAGAGACCGTTTCTATTAGTGATTAGATATGACATTTATTCTTTTGTAATATCATGGTCCTCTTGTTTTATTTTATTTTTGAAATGGTGTCTTGCTCTGTTACTCAGGCTGTAGTGCAGTGGTACAATCTTGGCTCACTGCAACCACCCCTGGGTACAAGTGATTCTCCTGCCTTAGCCTCCCAAGTAGCTGGGATTACAGGCACCTGCCACCATGCCTGGCTAATTTCTGTAGTTTTAGTAGAGATGAGGTTTCACCATGTTGGCCAAGCTGGTCTCGAACTCCTGACCTCGGGTGATCTGCCTGCCTTAGCTTCCCAAAATGCTGGCATTATAGGTGTGAGCCACGGTGCCCAGCCCCTCTTGCTTTATTATGTTGGAAAACCTACAAGATATAAGCCTTATCAGTCTCTTTCCATTGGTGAAACTCAGTGGTGAAGGTTTGCCAAAACAGGTATCCTGATAAATAGAGTGAATGGTGTTGGAGTCCACAAATTTACCTACAGAGTTTTTGACTTTGGTTAGGTTGACTTTTGTACAATCTGCATTTGTTTGTTTTACTAGGACATCCTCTAGCCTTTTTTTTTTTGTTTTTTAAATCTGCTAACCAGTTAACATTTTGGCTAGTCCATGGGACACCTGCTTGCTAGCCAACAGTTTCAGTTTCAGCAGTGTTTGTGCTCTTTATATTTTATTGTAATTTTCTTAGTTTAGAAAGATAGGATGAATGGAAAACACAAAAAATCACCAATATTCATGATAATGTAGGTCTCATAAATTTAAAACAGTTGATCCAAAGGTAGGAATCACTGGATGTACAAAACATGGAGATTTTTCAGCCTGTTCTTTCTTATGTGAAGGAAGGGAACAAAATGAATGAACATATAAGACATGCTAACATATATCAAATGTTAAGATATATTAGTGAGCTTTGGCAGTGTAACAAAACTCCCTGACTTACAGCAACAGGTATTTATTTTCACACTCATGGGTTTTCGGGTTGACCGTGATTTGGCTGGTTTAGGCTGGTCTCCTTGGGGTGGCTGTGCTGAGGCTGTGGGGTGGGTTCCAGTCTGCTCCACATGTGTCCTGGGGCCCAGGCTGCAGGGATGGCAGCTACTTGGCACACGCCCTTCTTCTGGCAGATCACTGGAGCCAAGAGGCAAATGGCACAAGCAAATGTCACTTCGAGTGACAACCTATTTTGGACAAAGCAAGTCACATGGGAAAGCCCAACACTTGTGTGTAAAAGTAGATTCTGTTCACAGTAGGGGAGCGAATATTTGATGAACTGTCATTTAGATTCCCACAGCATGTAAAAGTTATGGTTAGAAGATTTTCTAATTTATTTTTCTTGGGGAATGTAATTTTCATCCCCTCACTGCCAGCACTAGCTGTGTGACATATAAACCTGGTCCTTAACTTCTGCATTTCAGGATCAAACATATACCATGTTTGATTTTAGAGGTCTGGCTGTAAAGCAGGTTGGTGTATACACATGAATTACTTAAATTATTAAGGCACTATTTATTAGGACTTACTGTGTTCCAAGAGACAATGTTCAGTGCAGTGGTGAACACAGTTTTTATCTAATGTGGGTTCTGCCATTATAAAACTTATTAGGAATAGATGTAAGGAAGGACTTCTTGGATGCAATGACATTTTCCTGGACCTTCAAGCAGGGAGAGAGTTGGAGATGCAGACAGAGCAGTGGATGCCATAAAAATATTGGGGGACACATGGATATAATGAGTTATTCCACTTGGCCAGAGAGTAAGAAAGGTGGATAACAGCAACATTAATAATTATAACAGTAGTATTTATAGCTTAACTTCTGTTGGGCAGTTAACTATGTGCTAGGCACTGTGCTTAGCACTTTCCATAAAATATCTAATTTAATATTGGGTAGGCATTGCTGGTTGCCTACCCAACATTCATTTTCTCCTTTCTAACTAAAAGAACCCTAATTTTGTTTGAGATGGAAATAAGCCTGCCTCACCTTCCCAAGACTCCCTTGCACTTGGAGTAGCCATGAGAGTTGGGTCTGATAATGACAGGTGGAAGTTGTTGGGTGGAGGCTTTCCTGAAAATGTAGTGAGTGGGGCACACCTGGCTGGTATACTCCAAGAGCTTTTCAGACCTTTCTGCTTCTTGCTGCTGGGATCATCCGTGCAATGCCTAGAAGGGCAGCAGCCAACTACAACAATGAAGATAAAGCCATGGTTTTTGTTTTGTTTGCTTTTGAAACAGGGCCTCACTCTATCACCCAGGCTGGAGTGCAGTGGGATGATCTCAGTTCATTGCAGCCTTGACTTCCCCAATTCAAGTGATCCTGCCAC